AATACACAAAACTAAAGTGACATGGGTCAATGAATTTTTTTGTTTGTTGTTTTGCAGTGTTCCCTCCCCTCCCCTCCCACCCCTGGCAACCAACAAAGAAAGTTTCCCTCCATATACAAACCTTTCCTTGACCCTCCACAACAACAAACTAATACTATATTTGTCCTTCTGTGAATGACTTATTTCACTCAGCATAATGTCCTCCAAGTTCATCCATATTATGTAGTGTTTTGCAGACTCTACATTATTCTTTAGTGCTGCATAGCATTCCACTATGTGTATGTACCTTAGTTTGGTCATCCACTCTTCCGCTGATGGGCACGTAGCTTGTTTCCATCTTTTTGCTAATGTAAATAGTGCTGCGATGAACATGAGTGTGCATATGTCTGTTCCTGTCCTGGCTCTCACCTCTCTAGAATATATACCTAGTAATGGGAATGCTGGGTTAAATGGTATCTCCAATTACAGCTTTCTAAGGAATCACCATATTGCTTTCCACAGTGGTTGTATCACTTCACAATCCCACCAGCAGCGTATGAGAGTTCCAATCTCTCCTCATCCTCGTCAGCATTTGTTATTTTCTGTTTTGTTGAACCTTGCCATCAGTGCTGGAGTGAGACAGTATATCTCATTGTTGTTTTGATTTGCATCTCTCTGATGGCGAGTGATTGTGAGCATCTCTTCATGTATTAGTTGGCCACCTGAATATCCTCCTTGGTGAAGTGTCTATTCATGTCTTCTGCCCATTTTTCAATTGGATTGTTCATTCCTTTGCTGTTGAGGCATTGGAGTTTTCTATGAATCTTGGAGATAAGTCCTTTGCCAGATATGTAATTATTGGCAAATATGAATTTGTTGCTGTCATTTTTGTTACGTATGTCGTGGTGTCGATTTCTTTGTTCCATATAATTTTCTATGCTGAGCTCGTTTTGTTTGTGAATCGTGTTATCACTTCCTTCATTGCTATTGTTTTAGTATTTGCTGAATATTTGTGCTGGTCCTCTTTTTTATTTTGATGTGAAGATTTATCATTTTTCTTTGAGACTACCCTGTGATTTATAGTTTTCTTCCCAAGTTTAGAACAGTCCGTTCTATCTTGTAGCCATCTTGACTTCCCTACCATCTAGAAGTTCTGTAACAATACAATTTTTTCCCTCCTTTTGGGTTTGTAGTTGTCCTAATTTGTCAATTAATGTCTCTAGTTCCCTGTTTAGAATCTTGTAGACTTATTTACTTTGGATACTTCCATAGCTGGGTTGGTTTCTGGGTTTTATCATCATGTGTGTTAATGGTCAGTTGTTGTTGGCTGTTGTTGCTTCTCTGTCCAAAGGGCTTCCTTTAACATCTCTTGCAAAATTGGTCTGGTTTTAACAAATTCCCTTAAATTCTGCATATCTGGAAATGTCCTAATTTCACCATCATATTTGAGGGACAATTTTGCTGGATACATAATTCTTGGTTGGAAATTTTTCTCTTTCAGTGTTTTATATATACCATCCCACTGTCTTCTCGCCTGCATGGTTTCTGCCCAATAATTTGAGCTTAGTCTTCTTGGTTGCCCCTTATAGGTAACTTTTCATTTCTCCTGTGCTCCTGCCATGATTCTTTCTTTGTGTTTGGTTTTGTGAGTTTGATGATGATATGTCTTGGTGATTTTCTTTTGGGGTCTATCCCGTTTGGGGTTTGTTGGACTTCTTGAATGGATATATTCTCATCTTTCTTCACACCAGGAAAATTATCTTCCAATAAATCTTCAACAATTTTCTCTGTGGTTTTATTTTTCTCTTCCTGTTCTGGAATTCCAATGACTTGTAGGTTATTCCTTTTGATTGTATCCCACATGAACCTTAGGCTTTCTTCATTTTGTTTTGATCTTTTTTCTGATTGATCTCTTTCCAAAGAAGTATTCAGG